TTAGAGCTTAATCGCCAGACTAATCATGGCTAAGCGCAACGCTAGCATTGCTTCTTCGCACATTAGTGCTGTTGCTAGAGTGGACTTTTCCCCAAAATTGGTGTATTAAACGCTTCTAGGGGGTCGTTGGGTGGGAGAATGATGAGTTAGGCCTGTAGAAAATGGGACTAGAAGAAAATCTCTCTGCCAAAAAGGCCAATATCAACACTTGAAATAAAGCAGCAATAAAGGAATAACAGACTCAGCGAGTTTTCTTATGCCACCTCTTCTATCGCTAGGCCCTTTTTCATGATGGCTGCACCACATTCGGAAGACTGTCCAGACTGGCGCCAGGATCGGCTGCTCAAGAAAAACCCTGCAGATTCGTACGCAGAATGCGGCTGGCAGTTCAAGCAAATGAGATGAGCCCACGTATTTTCTAATTTGGCGCTCGGTTTGGGTGACTCATCGCACTTCACTGGGCTGATTTCGTCAGAATTTCTGCAATTAGATTGGCCTCGTTTCTGGACACTGTCTCGGCTCTCAGGCTTCGCAGCCAATCCGCCCAGCCGAGCCTCGATTCGCGCGGCCTCGCCCGTGAAACTCGACTCAGTCCAGCCCAGACTATCGATCGGAGATCCGACCAGCTGGCTCGCCTATCTGCTCTTCACTAGTGAGTTTGAGCACACCCGCACACCGGCACACACTCTAGTGAGGCTGGAATCTGTGTGGCCTGGTACAGTGAATTCGTCATTCAAACTCTCTCTCTCTCTCTTTCACCGACCAAACGTGACTCGTCCCAGATCGCGAACAGCCACGATCGATCGGTGCATTCAAAGGGCCACCCAATCAGCAGGACTGGAAAGTGAGGATAGAGCGCTCTCGCCTCGCGGCCGCCATTAGCCCGACAGGATTGGCGTCCCTTTAGCTGCCCACTTTCTGCAGTTCTGCAGCTCAATCCGCTTCAGCCTTGCACGAACCCGGACAATGTCATGCTGAGTCTGCTTGTCTCTGACGCCGTCTACACAGTGCTTATTGTGGGCCCATCCTCTCTTTATGCATCATTGAATTTT